TGGAATAACGAAGAAAGTATTCTTTGACCATTCTGTAAATTTAAAAATGATTTATTATAAAAGCCGTGTTTAATGAAACTTTTGAATATTATTATTATAATATTTAGCCAGTAGTGAATCTAAGGGGAAAATGGGTGAAATTTCCTTCCAAAGAGTTCTGTTACTTATGCATTAGTTCAGTAGGTATTGTGACGAATGTTGTATTAGAAAAATCGAATTTGCTCCTGCATATAAAAAAGATAATAAGATTTAGCAAATGTTAGAATATAAACTAAATCTTTATCGTATTTGTGTGAAAGTATGATGTAGTATATTATATATGAACGGAAATATTCGATTCTAAATGCGGTGGAATGATAGTGGCATTCTGACAGTTATCGTGGGGAATATAGAGACTTGTCATCCATTATTTCGACACATGGAGGGCTAGGGAGGAATTTTTTGGGTGGCGGGTAAAAATAAACAGTCCATAAAGTGGAGGATACAGTTGGCTTCATGTTGAAAATTGCCGAAGTAGCAGCGAAATATCTTTAATACCGAGATTCATCCATTATGCATGAGCGAGATATATGTAGGAGAGAGAGGCTCTAATAACAACGGCGAGTTTCCATCATGTCCGTCCCGTCCAACCGTTACGTTTGGTGGTCAAGTCAGGGCAGCAATACAGCACAAGGTATAATTTTTGGCCGTTCGTCGCTACTGGGGTGGAAAAAGAAAAATATGCTCCTATCTCATATCTTTTGTTTTTTTTTCTGTGTAGCTATTAAGAACGGTTGAACTTCTTTCTCCCCTGGTGTTAAGGCTTCAGAATTAGAACTAAGTATTGTAACAATGCTGAACATTATTATTAAAATTAAGTAAGGATTTCTGATACTTCGCTATTAGTTTCGTTATAGATTTTTAATCAAACAATCTTTGTTTTTTAAACCAAGCGGTGTGACCTAGAGGTTTAGATCATTCTTAGCATTCAGCGGTTCAATTCCTGGTCTGTCAGCCCTTGCCCATGTTTTTCTATGGTTTCCTTGAATTACTTAGGCAAATGCTGGGGTAGTAATATTCCACAAATAATCTCTCACTCTTCATTTTCCCATTCTCACGATTCCTAAAAGGTAGTTGAAGAGGGCCTTTCGTCGTACTCTCCGACGTAGTTTAAAGTTTTGATTCTGTCTTCCTCATGACCAAACACTGGTAGGTACTGCACGTGAAATCTCCGTTAGTTGTGTTCTACATGACCTGCCTTTTTGTTGACTCGCGAACCACTGGATTGGGCGCAATATTTTTTCAGTTGTTATATGTAGTACTCTATCTTAGAATAATGTTTAAGATTTTGAGTTGTGTTGACTCGGTCTTTGGTTAACTGTAAACGTTTGACAATATTTAGCAGACGGTATCTTCAGTGCGTTTTGTTTCAAGGCCTACAGCTGAAGGCGTTTGCAGTTATAAGCAAAGGACACGACACCACAGACCAAAAATACCCTTTAGCAGGACGATGAGAAAATAGTTTTTCTTTTATCTCAAGAAACGTTTTACAAACTGCATAGTTGGGGTTTTCATTTATTTAAAGAGTAATTGCAAGAAATCGAGAGAAGTCAGAGTCAGAGGACTCAATTCAGAGTTAACTGAAATAAGAATGCAATCCATATGGGCGAAGTTACGGCAATTTTTTATTCAATCTATTTCTGATTATTTTATTTTATTTTAAGTAGTGTCCTGACCGGCATATATTTATCAAAATTTTAGACGTTACATGTACATTGCATGATTTTAAAAATGATGCAACCCAAATTTCTAGGTATAGGTAATATTTATATGTATAAGTTTAGTTAGAAGATATTTTTCAGATGCCTCATATAAGTAGATATATGTACTTATCTAGGCAGACTGAGGCAGGAAGCGGTTTTTAACAAGAATAATAAGAGTAAAATCGTTAGCTAACTGGTAGGTAGTAGGTAGGCAGTGTGGGGTAAGTAAGAATGGTTTGGTCGCATTCATTCCTGGGAAACATGAAGTATGCATGAGGCCAGTAAAACAATGAAGCGCTCTAACGGTGGGGTGGGGTTTTTCAAACAGAAAACAAGAATAAGAGAGGATTTCAATCAAACGAGACGAACTCATGACTTTATGCAGAAGGTGGGTAAGGCCTTAGAACAATCCTCCGCAGTTCCTTCATTCGACGTTATTGAGTTCGAGAGCCCGCGCTACAATTTTCATCTGCGCTCGACGTCGAGACGCGTCGTTGTTTGCACGCCATGGATAACAAAAAATAAAAAGGGTAGGAAAGGAAATGAACGAATGAAAGAACGAAAAACGAACAAGGATTAAATAAAGGACGAACACGCGATCTTTTTAACTTATTTACACAGTGTGATGACGCCGCTTCTCAAAAATCGACCACTCATCATGTTGTAATACGTAATCTTAGTGGGATGATAGAGTTATTGGCGAACTACAAAAAAAAATAACACGTTCGATAATATGGTGGTGTGGAAATTTGCCTTAATAAAATTACTGCTATCCAGATGATATCATTTACCTACTAACGTTTATGTCACCTACAGTTTTTTCTTTCTTTTGTGTTTTTAATAAATGTTGAGGTGTAATTGTGTAATTTACACAATACTACATGTTATCAGCGATGAACAAATATACTTATTTTAATTAATTTTTATTGTAATAAGAAGTCCAAACTTTACGAGTAGTAGTAAATTGTTTGTTTATCTTAGATGTTTGATAACCACCACTGTTTACATTCTCTATTGATCTAATCGCAGAGTTTTAGTCAGTTCGCTATTTGTGCATATCTACGTTGCCAATTTACATGTAGGACTGGCTTTGGATTGCAAATTATTGTGTCTGAAATTTTTTTTTTTGCCTTTAATCATATCTGTACTCATCAATTTCAACTGCTCCAAATAAATTCTTATAAATAGTTATTAACTAGCATATACTTGCTTTCTGATTTCGCAAGTTAATTCTCTATAGGATACTCCTTTGCGAACTCATCAGATTGTTTTGTAATACTTACTTTCTCTCTTTAGATATTTTTGGAATAACGAAGAAAGTATTCTTTGACCATTCTGTAAATTTAAAAATGATTTATTATAAAAGCCGTGTTTAATGAAACTTTTGAATATTATTATTATAATATTTAGCCAGTAGTGAATCTAAGGGGAAAATGGGTGAAATTTCCTTCCAAAGAGTTCTGTTACTTATGCATTAGTTCAGTAGGTATTGTGACGAATGTTGTATTAGAAAAATCGAATTTGCTCCTGAATATAAAAAAGATAATAAGATTTAGCAAATGTTAGAATATAAACTAAATCTTTGCCGTATTTGTGTGAAAGTATGATGTAGTATATTATATATGAACGGAAATATTCGATTCTAAATGCGGTGGAATGATAGTGGCATTCTGACAGTTATCGTGGGGAATATAGAGACTTGTCATCCATTATTTCGACACATGGAGGGCTAGGGAGGAATTTTTTGGGTGGCGGGTAAAAATAAACAGTCCATAAAGTGGAGGATACAGTTGGCTTCATGTTGAAAATTGCCGAAGTAGCAGCGAAATATCTTTAATACCGAGATTCATCCATTATGCATGAGCGAGATATATGTAGGAGAGAGAGGCTCTAATAACAACGGCGAGTTTCCATCATGTCCGTCCCGTCCAACCGTTACGTTTGGTGGTCAAGTCAGGGCAGCAATACAGCACAAGGTATAATTTTTGGCCGTTCGTCGCTACTGGGGTGGAAAAAGAAAAATATGCTCCTATCTCAGATCGACAGCGGTTGCTGCTTCCCAGAAAACAGGCTTTCCAATTCCATTTGGTCACTACTTACGATTTACAGTTTTCTGATGTATTCTGAAATATGTGTCTATTATATATTAACCAATACAATTTCTCTTTATATTTAATAGAAACCTTTTAGAGGTATTTCACGCTGTCTTTTCTTATGTCCGGACTCATTTTCGGGATACAGTAGGTATGTAGAATTATAGTACATCATCATAATTAATCTTAAAAGACGAGCTCATAATTTGAAGATATAGACGAATTTCACCGAATTGTAAAGGTTTTTCACATGAAAAGCATGGAAAGATATTCATTTATTGAGATAATTGGATTCAGATCTAAAGACGTCCAGCATTAGAGATGAAAGAACCTCTGAAAGAGCTCGTCAATCATGCTCTAGTGAAATTTTAGCGAACTGTCGACTGTCTTTTGGATACATACATATGTTTCACGTGTTTGGAGGTACAGATTTTGAAAATTAGTCAGATAACATTTACCTCACAGACAAATACTTCTTGACCAAAGAAAATACTTCGATCATTATTTTAAATTACTTTTCTAGGTACATATGATTTGACTGAACAAATGCCAATTGTCTAACAAAGCCCTAGGCGCAAATGATGGAAATTATTTCGTCGTTTTGTTTGATTCTGGCCAATTTCTGTTGAGGCTGAACTCTTTTCTTTCTTCATAGTTCATAGGATATTTGCACTTGGGTAGTCTCCAGGCAGAGACGGATTAAATGTCGAGAGCGCCCTAGGCTAGCACCACGTAGACGCCCCTCGGGCGATCATATATTTTGGAAAATAATTTTTGGAAGCAGGTATTTTCTTATTTTTTTTTCTTCCGCGCGCACCCCTTTCTACCTTGAGTCCTAGGTATGAGCTAGTTTGCCTTATGGATAATCTGCCACTGTCTCCAGGCAACACAGATTACTCTTAATTTGTAAACTAGCTGGATATCGGATAATATAAACTGTCCAAATGACTCAATTGATAGTTACGCTTAGAATTATAAGGTTATTAGTCC